CTTTTGTTTTGCCAATAGTTGTGTTTCCTTTGACCTATAGCAAAGGTATGTGTGCAGGCACTTGTAGGAGACAGGTATTTCCTGACCCAGATGATCTGATGTCAGACAAAATTAGGAAAGATTATGGCCTTGGTGGGATAGGAATCAGTGTCTGTTGTCTCACTAATTACATCTGCTTCACAGGTAGACTGGAGTCTGAGTAAATAACTCAGATGGTGCAGTGAAGGGTCCCTGGCCTCAGGCGTTATGGTACTGGCAAACTGGGAGGCAGGATTTAGTTTCTATGGGAAATCCTGTTGGCAAAGGAGAATGCACAGGAGGTGCGACGGTCACTGTATTTCACACTGTAAGTCCTTCAGGACGGCTTTGGCATTGAGCGCTTTAGTGTTCTGGTGCCCAAACCCAGGGCTGCGCAGTACCTGACCCCACGTGAGTGGCCATGTGGGGTCCCAGACTGCCCTGGCAGATGCATTTGGAAAGTTAGCTGGATTTAGGTGCTGGAAACCCGTGCAGGTACAGACCACCGACGTACTCGGGTAACAGAGACACTGAGCTGAGAAAAAACACTGCACGAGGGTGGCCAGTGTTTCTGAGCACGCCAGCCATGTAACAACCTCATCCCAGCACCCGCAGCACCCGTCCCACCACCCGGGTGCACACCTCCAACGCGACTGCAGGGCACCAGTGGCAGCAATCATGAGCAAATGCCACTCCAGCACCGTGTCGCGCCAGCCAGCATGTTCTGCTGGTTTCACGGGAAACCAGGACTGGTGGCTCAGATGGGGTACCACTACCCAGCCCTGCCTGCTGTAGGACCACAGTGCTGGTCCCAGCCAGGTAGGGAGAACCTGCAGGCTTCTCCAGAGCTACAGCTTGCTACCCTCACATGACGCACCCTACGCATTCTCTGCAAAACTTAAGGCAAAGATAAAACATGTTAAGTTCCTTATGGCAGTGCCCAAAGGTACTATATCTGAAGATAACATCAATAGAGAGAGCCAGCGCAAGTTCTCTTCACACAAACTATTTCCCAGAGGCTAATGGCAAGGGGGAGAGAGAGAGAGAAAAACAAGTACTGACAATTTACTGTAGGAGCTCAAAGAAAAAGTGGACAAAGCTAAAAGAACTCCAGCTCTTTGTTCGCATTTAATCCAGTTCAGAGCATTCACTGGTGCATACAGATTTACTTTTCATGACTGACGGAGCTGGATATGGTCATTTGGTAAGAAACAGAGGATCTAGGATTTAAATTTTGTGCCCTTCAGGCTCTTACGTTTTAGGAAAAGTCAGTCTATAACATATACAGTTTTAATCTAATGTAAAAAGTGTGAGCTGCTGGCTAATACCTTCAAAGAAACAAATCCTGATCTTGAAAGGTGAAGAACGCTTTCTCTTTATAACACAGAGCAAGTTTTTAAGGGGTAGAGCGCTTCTTTTGGCTCACAGAAACCAAGGGAAAGGCCGAGGACTCCTGTCCCTACCCAGAGAATCCCCCGTTTTATTTTCTTCCTTCTCTTTTCAATTCTCGTCTTGAATTTATAAAGGCACTGATTTGTCAGAGGCTACTAGAATAATGTAACGGTATTAAAATACCACTGTCCACATATTTTAATGCAAAACAAATAGGCCCAGCACCTGATACCACAGCACAATAAAACTATCAAATCACCATTGCAGGCTTTTGCTTTTGCTGAGGATAGACAGTTCAAGTTACACGTAGCCTATTTTCTAAAAGCTATAGAGTCAATTCATCTCTGGCTGAATTTGCAAAACACCACATTGAAAGACAGCACCAGTGAGGAGGGTACGTATACAAGAACAGAACCAACAAAAGGGTTTGTGAGTGAGAGGCAGAGAGGCTGGGCTAGGAAGGGCAGAACGGGAAGGGAAAGTTCACTTGCAGAGCACAGTGGACCCAAATTAGGCAGATGCATTGGAGCAATTTTAGCAGAGTGTATGGGAGACGCACCCCCAACAAATGTGAAGAGAAAAGGGAGGGTTAGCCAGTAAATCTCAGGAAGTGCTATCTGCGAAAAAAATGAGAACAATAAATGTGGCATAGCATTAAAGGACATCATCCCTCATCCCTCTACCTTCTCCTGTTCCCCTCTGAGCATTTCTGGTTGTCTAAGAAGGACCCCAATACTTGGTCTCAACTAATATTGCTCAAACTTCTCATGTTCAGACAAAACCAGACTGTTTTACCCTAACTGCTCATGCCCAGCCTTAGCTGAGACCAGAAATCCAGAAGCTCGTTCTGGTTGGCATCGTGTCACCCAGAGCAGGAGACCAACACATGACACGAGGCCACCCGGCTGCTGAACTGCTCCAGCCACTTGCTCAGCTCTTTCCAGTGAAACTACTCAGTCCCTCAGAGATTGCTGGCTGCAAATGGGATGCTAATGAAATAAACCAAAGAGCAATTTAGGCTATTTAACTACACTTCGGGAAAAGAGCCCTACCTGGATAGATGACACTAAGCCATGATGTATTTTGTATAAATGCTTCGAGTCAATTTGGCGGATCCTGATGGGAGGCGAGTTAGAAATATTTTGTTGCAAGTTTGAACATTGTACTGGGATACAAGGCCAGACGCTTGAACAAGAGCAGTGATTGAATTAGGGCTGAGCAATGTATCCCTGGCTAGTTTCAAATTAAAAAAAGAGAGATTTTAAAAAAGGTACAAATGAGGCTAAAAGAATTTATGTTATTTTTCCGGTTCTGTGCTATAACTCCTTTTCCATCTCCTCATCTATCTTCTAAGCATACTACCTTATGAATGAGTGAGCAATAAAAGAAGTATGCAGTGGCTGAGAGAGAAACTCAAGATAACAAGATAATGCAAAACGTAAGCCAAAGCTTGGGCAGAACTGCAAGTTAAGATGTAGATCTGAATTTAGAAGTTTCTCCCATCTGAGTTTTAGGGCAGTCATTAGATAGTTTGCATGAAAATCTAATTCAAAAACCGTAGCACAAAACGTGACCTAATATATGCTGAGTTCACATCTGTCAAAATTTGGACCTATACTTTCTAGGGGTTTTAATCCTGTTTTCAGACCACATGTGCTGACACTTCACTCATAGACTAAAATATAATTAAAGAAAAGCTATTTTAATGCCTTTGAAATCCCTACCGTCATTGAAAAGGGGCAGAAGAAGAAAAATGAGTAAAAATGCAGCTACAAACTATCCTAAGGTTGGGCAATAGCAATTACTGCACCCTGGTGACACGGGAACAATCCCAAGACCAAAAGCTATGAGCATAATAAGCTACTACGTGCAGGCTTTAAATTTCTGCCAGGAACAGGACGGAGCTACGTTCGCTAGTGTTCGTGCACTATTTTTCTGCTGGCTGCACAATTTTAGATGTGCTCTTTCTCCTTGCCACCCCCAGCTCATGCTGAGATTTTAGACTTGAAGTCCCAATACACGTGTCCAGCCTTCGAGCTGGACTGGGCTCCTTCAGTGCAGGCTGCCCTTTCCAGCAGCAGCCGGTGAGGGTGTCTGCAGGGGAAGTTTTCCAAACATCCAAAACTGAAAGGGGGGCGGAGGTTATAGCAAAGGGTTAATTCAAATTTCCATATCACTGACCTCCCTCCAGCCTTCTAGGCTGCCCAGGTTTGGAGCTGCACGGATTAGCCAGGGTTTCTCAGGGGAAAAATTATGTGGCCACTCCCTGAACCCAGATAATCCCTCTGGCTGGGCTTTCCCCTGCTGGTATCTGCCGGGTTAGGCAGAACTTAATCATCAACATTATTCTGTTCTCTTTCAAGCAAAGACCAGAGGGAAATTAATTGCTGGAATTAGGTATGTTTTCAAGCCTTAACCCAATGTAGCTGGTAAGTGAGGTCCACTATAGGGCTCAGGACAGAGAGCAGGTCTCCAGTTCTACTTGGCAAAGACTGGGTTGGTAAACAAACAGCAGGAGGGAGAAGACATAAGGATAAAGTGTCAAGGGATGTGAAGGTTGAAGGGAAGAAGCAGCTTGTTACCTTCAAAAGGAAAGCAGTGACAACTCAGGCATAAGCATGACAGACCCCTACAACGAAGAGAAGATGAGACAGGGTGGAACAAGCCATGATGTCGAGGTGTTTGAGACACTTTTACAGTATTAAGGAGGTAGAAAATTTTTAACAAGAAGCGATGACAAAACATGAAATCAATTTCTCATTTTTACTCAGACTCTTTATGCTCGAAGACAGACCTGGTTTTCTGGCAAAGCAGCTGGAGCATTTTGTATGCTCCGTTATCCACATGAGAGGAAGTGAAACACTTCAAACCCTCCAGGAAGCGCAAAGAACTTAATACTATGGTAAATTAAAATAATACTTAGATTTCCAAATTGGAGCATTAACTTGCAACAGTTACAACAGGTGAGACCAACAGGAGGTTGCATTGATAGAGTTTGTCTGCTTGTTCTCATCTTGCACCAGCTTATGCCATTTGCAGGTGCAAGACTTGAAATGCAGTTCATTTTTGAAACTGTTTACAAAAATTGAGGTCCAGTGCCTATTGCTGAACTTTCAAAGCCTTCTGCATGTGGCATTTCATGTAAAGGTGTGATTTTTCTGCCAGTTCCTAATTTCACTGCCATATGCCAAAAACTGAAACAACAGACAAATCCGAAGCACTGTATGAGCATATCACAAATGAAAGTGAAGAAAAGCTGTGGTTGAGGAGGGTCCCGTTTTCCCTTTGGTCCATGGGCTGTGAAATTAGGCAAAGTTATCTTCCCTGCTTAACTCGAAGTGCAAATGGGGCATCAGCTTTGCAGACAGGACTCGGTTGACACTGGTGAGCATTTGCTACCTGGGACCACAGTGTCACCAGGCAAGCAAAGCCCACAGCTTTGGTGGGACCGTGGCTTATGTCTGGCGGCACCTCACGCCGGAGAGCAAACTGTAGTTCAATGTGCATCAAATAAATGTGCATCAAATAATGTGTTTTTTTGAAAAGACTATCTTATATTAATGCATCATTCTTTGTTCTTCCAAATACAGATTCTGGAAGAGAACATGAAGTTAGAGTGCAAGTGCCATGGGGTCTCGGGATCCTGTACCACTAAAACGTGCTGGACAACCCTGCCTAAATTCCGGGAGCTGGGCTACATCCTTAAGGACAAATACAACGAAGCCGTTCAAGTCGAACCAGTGAGAGCAAGTCGTAACAAGCGTCCAACCTTCCTCAAAATAAAGAAGCCACTTTCTTATCGCAAACCCATGGATACAGATTTAGTGTACATAGAAAAATCTCCCAATTATTGTGAAGAAGACCCTGTGACAGGCAGTGTGGGAACGCAGGGAAGGATGTGCAACAAGACGGCCCAGCAGTCCAATGGCTGCGACCTGATGTGCTGTGGTCGAGGTTACAACACCCACCAGTACTCAAGAGTGTGGCAGTGCAACTGCAAATTTCATTGGTGCTGCTATGTTAAATGCAACACGTGCAGTGAAAGAACAGAAGTATATACCTGTAAGTGAGTACCTGGCCGGGCGGGCTGACGTGTCCCCGGCCAGGAATACATTTGCACATGCACTCAACATACCTACACAAGACTGTAGGAAAGACCTGCTCTCCCAGAAGAAATGCGGATGAATGGAGCCCTCTCTTTTCTTCTCATGTTTCATTGCTTATGTGGATACACATTTCAGACTCTTATGAAAGTCAGCCAAGAAACGAAAACAAACAAACCCCACCCCGAGCCACCTGACACACAAAACAAGAGAGAGAAAGATCATCGTGGCTAATCTGCGCCTCTAAAGCAAGAAGCATTGACTGCCTCGTGAAGAGCCACCCGCCAGAGAAAGATCTCCGAGCGTGGCAACTAACTCTTGATTTGGAAAAAGGATGGTCAAAACCTTCAGTGTATAAGGAGCAGGGAGAGGGAGGGGAGAAATCCTCACCCAAGGGCTTTGTGCAGGAGGGGATGGACAGTGCCTCCGGGAGCGTGCGGATGACACAGATTCAGGCTTCTACACTTGCGAAAAGCTTCCGCTGGTCTCGCCCATCTTTCCACTTCATACCGTTCACTACAGAGCATAGAACTGTTGAAGTTTTCTGTAGACACTGCTTTATCTGCCTATTTTGTGTGTGTGTGTGTGCTGCAGATTTTAGCACAGGGATTTGGGACACTTGGGCATAATAATAGCAATATTTAACAATTTATTCAGATAAAACTAATATTAATTTATTTAATTAAAAAGAACTCTACCAACATTTTTGGAACTATTCTGCAATTAAAGTACATAGCTGGCTTTCTTTGTGGAATAATTTTGTAGAAAGAGCAAGGAAAAACTGGAGCTGTATATATTATTCTCAACTAGGATATTTCTATTAGTTGGACTTGCAGGATACGTTCTACAGTACTAGACGTTTAAGTACAAAAGCTGGCATCTTTATATATATGTACATACACAAACACACACTGTTGGTTTTGGGGTTTTTTTTGTTTTTGGTTTTGTTTTGGTTTTGTTTTTGTTTTTTTTTTCCTGTTTGCTGCTAGTTGTCTGGAACAAAAGTCAAGCGGTAGGGGTTGCAAATCTTTACCAGTTTTTTTTTTTTTTTCTTCAATTAAAGAAAGAAGCATTAATAAAATCCTGTTTGGAATATGCCTAAAGATAAGAAAATCCAGACAAACTTCCATCTTTTGGAAAAATCAACCATAGGATAAGAGAGTATATTTTGTAAGAGACTATTTTTATATAAATATTTTATTTATACTACGTCTGCTTGTTCAACCTGTACTTTTTCTCAAAACAGGCATACAATTTGTAATTCTTAGGCTATTTAACAGAGAAAGGGTAATTAGTTTGTGGACACAACAGCAGCAAGCTGGATACATACAGCTGCAATTGGTGGATATGTCAGAAAGCAGAATGAACTTTCTCTCCGGATGTGTGTACAAACTGGCGCTTTTCCTGCAGCTCAATTTGCAGAATATGCAAAACAAGAACAGGGTATGTAGCATCAATTTTGTCACATGGCTTGAATTCATGATTGGTATTAACTGGATGCTCATTTATCCCATTCAAGAAAAAAAAAATCCGAATTAGCTTCCCACATGCGTCAGTCATTAAACTGTGGCGTTATGACTAGCAAATGTGCTGTGTGTGCTGTCAGTTAAACCTCTATATTGTGTTACTGTCAAATTTGATTTTAATCAGTGGAAGACTGTAGACTATGACTGTAAAAACTATCATGACACACATCGTCTGATTCTCATAGATAGGATACAAAGCTTACTTTTTGTCCAGCTCTTTTTGGCATTTACATTATTCTTTCCCCCCAAAAGGCCAGAGAGATCAAAAATCCAGAAAAACATCTAGGCAAATTTAAAGGCTGCTCGCTTGTTTTTCAGAGCCCAGCTAAGCATATTGCATTCCCTTTACAGCATTTCCTTTTTATCCCTACTAACTGCTTCAGATAGTTGAGTGGTAAATATTTCTCTGGTTTTAGAATCCTTCTGTTCCTCCTGCTTGACTCATTTGTGACCGATAAAAAAAAAAAATCTAATTTTTATGTTGTTTTGCATTGGGTAAGAAACACGGCCCAGCACTAGTGATGATATTGCATGTTCTGTCTGGGAGAGACCAGATTCTTCCCCTCGTCCAGCCTACAGGATCTCATGCTGTTAATGAGGCTAAGAGGGGCACCAGTAAAGGAACCGAACCACCACCCAGCACGCTGTGCCTTTCACTGGTGCCAGCTGATAACAGCAAGTGTTGCAAGGAGTAGATGATACAGATCTACCTGGTGTCCACTGATCTCTCAGAGGCAAAACTCCCCCCTTCTAAGACTGTGAAAACAGAGAAAGTTGTCTGAGAAAGTAAACAGAAGCATCACAAAAGATGTTGTAAAGTTTTGCCATAACAACCTAACCTTTTAGAACCTGTCTGAATGTGGCAGGGTATTTTTTAACTCATTTCTTGTATATATGTCATTTCTGTGAGAACACAAGTCCGTGCAGTACCTGATCCTAGCAATGTATAATTAGGACTAAATATACAGTGTCCTTGCAGCCCTGCCACTTCACACAAAATAGAATTTTTATGCAATTCAGACACCAGCATGAGATATCAAAGTAAACCGATTAACATAATTTACTTTCAAACTTATGACTTGTCAATATAAAGTAATATAAAAGCAATTTTTTGGCGGTAATTGAGTCACTGCTTTTAGTTCCTCTAAATTCCACACATCACGAATTGATAAGACATAAAGTGTAATGAAGTACATACAGTATGGATGTTAATTACAACACTACAATATGACTAAATAATTCAGATCTAACATTTAATTTTGGAATCTCCCTCCCCCCTTCAAGTTTGTATTGGTTTTTTACTTAGTGGATACCATATCATAGCCAAAAGTGTGTTTTCTTCACTGATTAGAGTTACTTTACAAATTATTACTTTGCAGCATGTTTTTACCATAGGAAAGTAACCTGTAAAACTCCTGCTTCCTGTATATTTCAGTATGCAGTGATGTGCAATGTACAGCTAGCAGATTAAATATTGAAGGACAAATATCTTTAAACAGTTTTACTCACAATAATAAAGAACTGGATGCGCAAAGAAACGAATTTGGTACACATTTTCCCTATATTTTACAATGTTGCAATAATTGGAGAAAATGTCGATTTGTCTGACAACTGTAGTATCAGTTTGGGAAGTATGAATTAAAGAGCAAGGGAAAGCAAATGCTGCATTCAACTAGAAAGTATTTGGAAATTTGGCTGCATCATTTTAGATAGGAGAAATCTGGCCCATCAGAATCTGCCATGAACCTGGAGTAAATTGGTCATTCTCTAAACGGGCTTGAATGGCATGAAGAATAAACAGGAGAAGGAAAAAGATTTACGATTTTGTGGATATTCCTCCCTCGACAACAGTTTGTTCTTTGTCCTCAGGGATAGAAGAGCTCTGTTTTCACTTGTTGAAGAACCCCACAATGGGAGTGAAATGCACACAACTGCAGAACAATACAGCTCTCAACAGAAAATACATCTTTTCATCTCTACCAACCAAGGGAAGCGCTCGATTGCTGTCCACATTAATAACCTAGCTGAGGCGTTTAAAGAAAACATACATTCAAGAAGCAGGAAGAGTAAGAGGAGGAGGAAGCGTAAGAGAACAAGCATTGTGAGTTGGGAAGCTATTATTTATGAAATCTCGCCTCCTTATTTGATAGCAGAACCATGATTCATGGAAATGAAGCAGTTCTGCCTCGGGATTCCTAAGCACGTTCTTAGGATTTCACCTCTCGACCTTTTCAAAAGGACAGCTATCCTGAATACAAGTAGCTTGAATACTCGAAGTACCTACATAAAACACGAATCAGTCAATGATTAAGTTTTCTTTGCCATGTATGCACAAACCTAATGGAGATATGTCTTTCAGCAGTGATAATTAGACTGAAAACATCCTTAAAATGTACTCTTAAGTGGTTCATTCAGTAAAGTTATTGGAAGGGTACATAGTTACTTAGAAAAGGAAAATAATGGACGCATACCATATTACAGAAGGCTCTTCATGAACTATCTTGTGGATTACAAAACTGTTTTTAACTGACCACACTTAAAAATCAGAATATAGAAAAAATGAAAATACAGAAACATTGCAGACTGCAGTCAGGGTGCGCATATTCAAATTAAGATTCAGCATAAGTACCTCTGACAACATTTTATGTAAAAATGTTATCATTATAATATTAGGAAATACACACTGTGAATGTCCAAAATGAGCGTATTAACTAATAATGTCCCCAATTTGTAACCCCAAGACACCAACAGAAGAAGAAGCTCTCCAACCCTGCTGTTGGTAGGACTACACTGCAGAGGCCTAGACAGGGCTGGCCAAATCTGACTGATACTGTTGCTGTCACCCGATAGGGGTACAGTCCAAGTCAGGCCTGAATGTTCCAAAAACTGTCCAAAATTGAACCAAGTACAGGAATTTTATCTCACAGCAGAACTTCAGATGATGAAGCTCATGCAGGTTCCAAAACACTCTCCCTTAATTCATGGTTATCTCAGATAGTTGTCACCACGGCAAGTGACCTAATTTGCTAACCCAACTCATGTTCTTCTGGTGAAAAATCATACCAATATTTCCTCAAAGGTGGGATTTTAACCTGCAACACAAATTAAGGGAATCCTTCCTCTGAAAACAAGCAATTAATAACCTATGATTAAGTCCAAATGATGAAGAGATGTAGTTGGGTCTAAAGGACTCGAGGTGTTTGAAGAAGGGTATCAGAACTTTGTGATATCAGAGATGATGCTGTAACCCCCCTAAAGGCTTCTTTTGATGCTTTGGAGTTTTATGAAATTACTGATTTTTCCATTTTGTTGTTATTACATATTCATAGATTCATCAATAGCACGTACCATGCAATTTGCAATTGGGAGGTCAGAAGCAAGGCCCAGAGAAATCACACTTCTAAGTGTAGCACACTATATTTACTACTGGTGCTCTCAGGTTCACAGAGTTCATTACCTTGATCTTGTTTTGTTAGCAAAGTCACTGCATCACACTCTTGTTAGGAAAGATGCCTGCTTTGTAAAAGGACTGATATCTCTGGGAGAGGATGAGATTATATTTAC